CACGGATTAACAAGAAGATTAGCACACTAATCAACGTGATTAAGCTCGCGAGAAGTGTATATTTCATTACATATTGCATTCTTATATATTTTTTTATTGATCTATTTCTTTAAAGTAATTCATATTAATCGTTGTTATGGAATGGGACATCCCCCCCCCCCAAAAAAAACAATGGTTATGAAACTAATTGTTGCTTACTCATCATAACGTACGGGGATGCATATATCTATTAGATATTCGAATAAAACATATTAGAAACTTATAAATATTCAAAATTTTAGGTTAGAAATAAATTTTATTTTAATATAAATACTTCTTATTGATTATGTTCACCGGCCATGTACTATGTATCATGCAATCAATCAAAACCTAACGACAAAAATTTAACATTTGTCATCGGAGATTGTGGTTATTATAATAAGAATACCAGAGTGCTTGGACCGCTCTCTCCTCGATCAGTGACGTTTAATAATTTTAGATTTCTGTTTTTTTTAATTAGTTTTTCCTGATTATGATAAATATATTATATATCTTTATTAGCGTCAATTTTTGTATTTAATTAAACTTATCCGAAATCAAAATCAGTGGGAAAAAAAAGAGAAACCACTAATATTACTTTACATCTCTTTGTCATATCAAATGTTATCAACGACATTAAATCTGATTTCTTCTAGATACTCAATAATTTAGGAGAGCATGTATTCACTTAGTGACTCCTTTAATAATGTAAGTGATATGGCCATTTGTGTGTGTGTGTATATATATATATATATTTACATATTAATGTATTATAAATGTGTATATATAAATTAGTTTCTGAACTTCAAAATTTCAGCTACAACATAGAAGGAAACAAAAAACACTATGGTTTAAAATGTGCAACATTGAAAAAGCCCCTTTGTTAATAAAATTATTAAGAAATAACAATAATAAATGAAAAAAACAATATATTTTTTTTTCTGATCCGTGAGCAAATTCACGAGTTAATGCTCGTTTAATAAATTAATACCCTCTACTATGGCGTGTCGGAGGCGGAGGCATAAAAAAACAAAACAAAACAAAACTAGGAATTTAATTACTTTTAAGGAAAAACGATAGATATGGGAGGAGAGAGCGGGTGGGTGGGTGGGTGGGTGGAAGAGAGGCGACAAAAAAAGTGGAGGAAATAAATATTCAAGTACAATTAAAAAACAAGTGGTACGCTAATACATTTTATATAGTATATACATATATATATATATATATATCAGATATTTTAATCGTTATTTCATTTTATCTACATTATTATATTATCAGTGAATTTAATTGGTTACGATTAATATTTCTAATAATACTAAAAAATTTAGTTAACTAATTTTAAATGTATATCCAGTGCCCAACACTCCATAAAAAATATATCACATCAACCACTCCCTCTGATATCGATGTCATCTTTCGATACCAGAGCGCCAGGTACCTCCTCTAGGCCACCACCGACTATATCGAGCGAAGTCAGTCAACACTGATAACCTCTCGCCGGCCATCCGCCACGGAAAAGCTCATCAGACCCGAGCTCAAGGTTGTATTAAACTATTCCGCTGCGTATTTATAAAATAAAAGTTTTAAAACTCTCGTATTTTTGTTTGGTATTATTTTATTGGTTTTAGTCCATGTGGCGCATCCTGTTTACGGGAATCGGGATACGGGTGTCACACTGCAAACCCTAGAACGGACGGTCCACTAGTGGTCCGTCGGGCGCTCCGAAAAATCTCGGGTTCCATGTTTTCGCACTAAATTCAACAAACTATAGTTCAAAACGATCTAGAGAACATCAGGAACTCAAATCTAAGCTCAAACATGCATGAATCGCACTCAAAGAACACAAATCTTCATTTTCAATTTGATTATCATTTTCGAATTTAATCCGAAATACTCACCTCGGTTGATTTTGAGCCCTGGAGTTTGTTGCTGGGATTTCCTAGAGTTGATTACTGAATTTTCCCGTCGATACCCACGTGAAATGAGCTCCGATTTGGGGGTTCTCGGTCTGAGCTCGCAAGAAGACAAGGGAGAGGGTGAGAGCGAGTTGTGGGCTGAGTGTGAGCAGAGTGAGAGAGTGAAGCTCGTGCAGAGGAGGTTGGGCCGCTCTTGGATCAAGCAGGAGGTGTCACTTACCGGAGAAACCTCGAATTGCGGCAGTGACTCTGCAGAAGAAGAGGCGGTGCGTGAATTGAGCTCCCTCGTCAGATCGGGCGGTCTGGAAGTGCGGACCGGACGGACTGGCTCCTCTAGACCTGACGGTCTGGATGTAGACCGGACGGTCTGGCCAATTTTCTCCTTTTCTCTTCTTCGTTTCGGCGCGGTCTTCCACGTTAAACCGATTCGCCTGAGCGGCTTCATGTCGTGGTCTATTCGTCGTTAATCCTGTTAACGAAATTTAAGGACTTAACGCTTAATCATCTCATTTCCATTGATCAAGCGTAGTTAATTTCAGTTTATATTTCTTTAATCCTTTTACCGAAATTCGGGGTGTTACAATTTATCATCCTAAAATTATTTTAAAAATTATATTATTATAAATTTAGATTATAATAATAATAATAATATTAAATTGATCTATATTTTAAAAAATATATATACGATTTTTAAAATTTTATTTTATTTTTAATAAAATTATTATAAATATAGTTTAGTTAACTATGGTTAATATATTATGTAACAAACGTTGAAACTTTTCTCATACACCAACACGAAATTTTTCATCGTATTTTGTCCTCATTCACGTGTATAATGAAAAAAACTTTTCATTATGCCATCTATATTTAAATTGATCCAAAACGAATATACTTAACTTTAAAATTTTTCCGCGATAAGCAAACGGAAAGGTAGTTAAATACATTTTGTTGGTATAAGTAGCTCAATTAATTCTTTTAAGTGATCTTAGGATGTATAGTCCAATACCTATACAACTCTCATATATTTCTAATTGTATTGCGTTCGATTCATTCATATACCTCTCTGATTCTAGTGGTCTTAGGAGAGTCACCCCTTATCCGTGCTAGTTGCACCGACAATCACTTTTCACCCTTATCATAAAACTACTTTAGAGCATACTTAAATTTAGAGTTCTTTCGATATAAAAAAACGAAAAGATAGGTGTATCTTATTTGTATGATTAATACTTTTAAATTATCATGGGATGTATAGTCTCATACCTACAAAACATTCGCATTTCTCTCATTCCTTTACATTCAGTGTGTATCCATATCCCTCCTAACTAGAAATATGCTATGAGTTGCTCCTTATCCATACCGTTACATATCGATGATCACTCCCTACCCTTATTGATATCCAAGATATCATAGCACACACCTCATCGACGCGTTTCACACTTTTTTACAACTAAGAAACCTAACAAAGAAAAAATTATATTACCAAAATAATTCAACAAAAAATAGGGTTTCAAATATTACTCAAGTTTCGATATAATAAGTCGTTATAGTTGAAATTACAAAGACTATGTTTTTTGTTTTTGGTAATGAACAAAGACTATGTTATGATTAAACATAACATAGTAAGGTGTAAGAATATATTATACTAGTTTTCCGATCTATGTGACTTCACTAATCATATACTTTTATTAAAAAAAACAACTATCTATAAACGACTAAAATTGTAACGGATATTCCGTCGTAAGCAACAGTTGCGATGGATTTACGACAGAAAAACACAAAAAATTTCATCATAAATCGCGAATTTGCGACGGACTGTATCAGAATATTCCGTCGAAAAGGATTGTTACTTGTCTGCTACCTTATTATTGTAAATCGTATAAGTTTGATTAAAAAGTTAGACGCAATGGAAATATATTGTACACCAGGGTCGTAAAAAGGCATGTGCAAGTGGAACAAGGTACAGGGCCCCACAATTTGATGACCCTATATTTTTAAAAAATGATTTTTAAATACTAATAATTTAGAATTATATTTATTAATATACATTTGATAAATAATTAAAATTATATTTGACATAAAGTTTCGTAATTATCATCATTAATATTTACAATTTTTGAGTTATGTGTGTGATTTTTTAATATTAAATTTATCAATTAATATAATTGAAAAAAAAATTATTTAATATTTTATAAAATAAAAAATAAAAATATATTTTGTACAAAGCCTCTAAATCGTTTGGGACGGCTCTGATATACACGTAGAGTTTTATAAAATAAATTTCGTGTTTTAAACAAAAAAAATATATATATATATATATATATATATATATATATATATATATATATATATATCGTCCATGAAATACGTTTTGGCTATTTATTTTATTTTCACTAAATTCTTCACGGCTGCTGCTCAATTTTCAAAACGTATATGTTTTGTTTAATAATTAAAAAATTTACCGGATATTTGATCTAATTATGTCTCCCAATATATTGAAAAAATGACTCTTTTCATGCTTAGATTTGAATTCTATGATCTACATGTTCTTCTATCACTAAACCATCCAAACTTGGATAATATAGATGACTTAAATATGTAGTACAACTATTATAAATAATTTCCACTCGGGTTGCCATTGCCATTTGATAAAATTATAGATTTAATGAAGTTATAATATTTGCTATTCGAATATGTAAGTTTTTTTCATAAATATTATGTAGTGGCGCGTTACAATTGTATGGAAAATAGATTTGACAAATTCAATCGTGAATTTACCTTTCAAAATTTATGGTAAATAAGTAATTTGAACTAATGGTAGGGATGATCACCAATACGAAATGGAAATCGAATGATTATAATTTTTTATATTTAAAAAAATGAATATAATTAAAACGAATAATTATAATTTTTAGTAATAACCAAATCCAAAGCTTCAAAAAAAAAAAAATCCAAAGAAAAAACCGAATCAATCACCCCTACGTAAACGCAAACGCGATTTTGAAACGCTAACGCAAACAGAATAGGTGTAGAAAACGCGGATCGCGGTCCCTCTTCATTTAACTCGTTTGAAGGCTCTGTACGACATTTTTCTGACCGAGCTTTTCTCTTCCTCTGTAATGGCGGATCCACTCACCCGCTTCATTTCCTTTCTCTTTAGCTTCCTGATTTTCACCCTCTCTCTTCTTCTTCACCACCCAACCACATGCGAAGCCCAAACCCTCTTCGTATTTGGAGACGGTTTCTACGACGTCGGAAACAAGCAGTTCCTCTCCAGTAACGTAATATCGGCGAACGCTCCTCCATACGGCGTCACCATCGGCGAGGCCACCGGAAGGTGGTCGGACGGTCTTGTCGTGCCGGATTTTCTAGGTGGGTATCTGAATCGGGTGATGAATCGCAGAGAATTTTGGGCTGATTTTGGAGATGAATGAGAAAACCCTAAAAATCGAAACTTATTTTTGCAGCTGGGTTCATGGGTATTCCTCGGATTGCTCCGATTCTCGATACCAAGTCTGATTTCTCTAACGGAGCGAGCTTCGCCGTCGCCGGAGCCACCGTTCTTGGATCGCCACCGGAGACGGTGGGTTTTAACACTGATATACTCTGTTTCAAAATCTTCTTACACAAACCATATAAAAAACACCTTTTTTTAATCAATACGCCTGACGTTTCATTTCTAGTTTTGTGGGTTTGATCCAAAGATCCTAACTTTGATTTTTCTTTCATTACCCGTTGTGTCAAATTTCATGGAAAAAATCTCTGTAAAGTGTTCTTGACATTTACAGTGTGTAGTATTATGTGAAAATGGGACAGAATGAGTATGTAATGTTGTGGTTTATGTCTTGATTCCAAAATTAGCCCTTTTCACAGGGGAAATTAGCACATAGATATGAAGAACTTGAGATGAAACAGAACAGATTCCGATTTAGTTTCTTGGTATTGTGTAAAAGAACATATACGCATGCTCATGTCTGTTCTTGAAGGTATCTCTGATAACGAAGTTGTGTTATGCCGAAAGGCTTGATCTGCTAATGCATAGTCTTCCTTTTTTTTCCGATTAAACTTTCAGATGACTCTTGGACAGCAAGTGATGAAGTTCTCTGAGAACAAGAACAAATGGACTGACGATGAACGATCGAAAGCTGTCTACCTGTTTCATATCGGCGGTGACGATTACCTGGACTATACGAAGGAGAACCCAAGTCCCTCCGATGACCAGAAACAATCTTTAGTGGATCAGATCATCACCGCAATAGATGCAGCCGTAAAGGTAAGAGTTTCAATAACATTACCACTAATAACCGGTCATCTGTTTTTTGGAAGTCTGATAAAAAAAAAAATCACATTCATGATAAAAAGGCTGTGTATGGAGCTGGAGGGAGAAAGTTTGCCTTCCAGAACCTCGCGCCATTAGGTTGCTTACCAGCCGTGAAACAAGAAGACGGAGAAGAAGGCGATGCTGAATGTGTGGAGTTGCCTTCCGAATTGGCCGCTCTTCATAACGAGAAGCTGATTCAGCTGTTGGGGAAGCTAGGACGAGATCTCAAGGGTTTCCAATACTCGTATTATGATTTCTTCGGCTCGATCCAAAGACGGGTTCACCTCCCAGAGACTTACAGTAAGTCATTACCGATCGTTTCAACCTTGAATTTATCGGTTTCTGATATGCATATTCTCAACCCTATTTCCTTCTTGTTGGTTCAGCGTTTGCAAAGGGAAATGCTGCTTGTTGTGGAACCGGAGTTTACAACGGGACGGGCTGTGGAACCAATTCCGTATGCTCCAAGCCACGGGATTACGTTTTCTTCGACGGTAAACACTTGACACAAGAGGCCAATTTCCAGATCGGACAGCTGATTTGGAGTGCAGACAAAGATGTCATAAACCCTATCAATCTCCGGGAACTTCTCTTTCTTCCTCTGGACATTCCCGTCATCTTCGGTTCCGTATCGAACACCAAGGCTTCTGCCAAGGACACGAGGAGCAAAATCCACAATATCTACGATATGGGTTCGTTGGAATGGGGAACTAAGAACCAGTGGCTGTACCAAGTCGACCGGGCGAGCTCGTTTATCATCTGATGATGATATTACTGCGTGTACGTTACTATGAAAGAATAAGCCATCATCTATGGTGGCAGTGTTCGCTTTGCCTAGAAGCAGATCTCGAGCGTAGTAATAAGACTGTTACGAGTTACCCAGTTGTGAAAAAACATCCTTGAATATATATCCATCCAGTTCCTATTAAACCGTTTTCATGGACGAGAATGTCTGGATCTGACAAAGGACGATGGTAGTTTTCCATGTTATACCGAGACTAGTTACATGCTCAGACTCACTCCTCCTCAGATTACAAAACCCTAATTAAACTCAGGGACATTGTTTTTACATTTTAGGGGACAGGCTTAGTTTAGTACTCGAGCATGTTCGTTCTCGGTCGGGTAAACACTGAGCTCACGAAGGGTCATCGGACCGGCAATGTCTTCGTCGCCGCTGAAGAAGAGGGGCGATCTCCTCGTTCGCCTTCTGAGTGTTGTGTTGGCCGTCGAAGAAGAGGTATTCTCTCGCGTACTCGCACAAATTCGAGTGAACGTTGATGTATCCACACCCGAACACGATGTTTGATCCGATTCCACAGCAGGAGTCGATCCTGTCTGAGAACCCTAATCCACATTTTAGTACAAACCCATGTCTCAAAATCACATAAAGGCGTAGAAAAAACGAGAGTTAGGGTTTTCGGGAATCATACTGTAACTGTTGAAAGTGGCTTTGGGATCTTTCCCGAGCCTGCGAGAGATCGCGCTGTATAAATCAAGAACGGTGTACTGAAAACCGGAGGGCTAAATCTTTTAACATCGGTCTGATCTCGTCGTTGTGCTGTTCCGATATTTGGTTAGGTGTTTCATGGCAAGCATCTCCCTCAAAGCTGGTGTTCTTGTTTCACTGTCGGGAGGCAACCGAACCGAGTGGAGCCAATGTCTGGTGCGCGAATTTTCTTACTCCCAACGAGTACAGTTTCTGCACATAAATCTCTAATATCAAAAAGGAAGATTTTTTATATATAATTTCGAGAACAAAAAATATCATCTGAAATCTCGCAAAATCGACTCGACCCTTTATCCCTTTCTTTCTCGCTACGTTTTCTTGCTGCTCAAGCAATCTAAAAATTATATCTTTTTTTTCATAATGTAACAAGGTAACGTTCCACGTTACATTTGCTTTAGAACATTCAAGCTTTAATTATTCACGAATGGCGATAACACAGAGCATATCCCTTTATTTTCATTGCAGATAGCAATGATTACAACGCGAACTAAGGACTTATTCATCCTCACATATAACACATAGTAGCGTTCTAGTACTCGAGCATGTTCATACCATTAGGGCAAACACTAAGTTCACGGACGGTCATTGGACCGACAATGTCTTTGTTGCCGCTGAAGAAGAAGTGAGCGATTTCTTCGCTGCCTTTCTGGCTGTTGTGAAAGCCGTCGAAGAAGAGGTACTCTCTCGGCTGTTATGTGCAACTTTTATTAAACAAGTTTTTTTTTTTTGCTGCATATTATAATGATATGTTGTGTATTTGAATCACCAAAGTATATATTTTATTTATTATCCAGACAATTATAATGTAAAAGTATAAATGGTATTTAAAAAAATAATAGATATTTTTGGTGACCAGTATTAAGTGTCTGCCTCAACTTAAATGTACAAATATTTTAAATAATAGATATTCGAAGCAACTGAAAATTCAATTATTATAACTCATATATAGACATAAAAGTCAAAATATTATATAAATGTTTCGTCCCCTTTCATTTATTAGATATAGTAAATGCATTTTCCCCGCGTGTATATATGCATGGTTGGCATTTGGAATTTTTAACAGCAGTGTTTATGAAACTATTTATATATATATATATATATAGGAGTGTAGAACGAGTCTAGATCGCGGGATGACTCACGAGCCAGCCATATTTTTCTGAATTGGGTTTAAAAAATTTGAGTCCAGAAAAAATCGGGTCAAGGGAGCCAGTCCGTCACCTGTCGAACTCCCGGCGAGTTGAATAGTCACGCGTCGGACTGGCTCACGGACAAATTTTTTTTTTAATATTTAATATTTTTATATATTTTAAAATATTTTTATATACAAATTATATTTTTATCACAATATATTATTTATTTTTGTTTAAAATTTTATTCTTTATTATATTTTAAATATTAAAATTAGTTTTAAATATTTATTAGTATTAAAATTTTATTTTTAAAATTTATATATTTGGTTTGTGGAGCGATTCGTTTGGCTCACGGACTAAAACGATATGGATTAGATTGATATATTTTTTATTCGCTAAAAAATGGATTGGATTGGTTTGGACTAAAATTTTTCTAGATCGAGTCGGATTGGATTGGACTGGACCAGTTCGTTTTATACCCGTGTGTATATATATATATAATGATATTTTATTTTCAATAGACGTAATGATTATTATGACAGGTCCATATTGATGTAAATTGGATAGCTACGCAATAAATACAAAATAGTGTTGGAGACTCATTGTGTAACAATCCGTAAATCTAAAAAAAAAAGTCGGACCAGACGGACCAGGAGTTCGACCGGACGGACTAGCCAGTCCGGACCGAACGGACTGCAAAGCGAGAACGGACGGACTAGCCAGTCCGGACCGAACGGACTGGAAACGGGATCAGACGGACCAGACTGTCGGCAGCGACGATAGTTGCGATTTTCGTCCGGATTCGACCTGAAAGCGACTCGAAAGCACTAATCCAACCAGAAAACCCGACTTTTTGACCCTAAGCACGATTTGGCCCACCCTGGTCCGGATTTCTGTCGAAAATCCGCCTAATCCCAGCCATAAGTAACCCCTCTTCCCCCTCACATGTTCTTCACCTTCAAACTCGGAATTCTCTCTCGAATCCGAATCATTTACCTTGAATATGGTTTCTACAGAGCAAAGGGAGCATCACCGAGCTTCTTAGCCGTCACCCAGAACACGGGATTAACCCAGGTGAGTAAATTCGAGTTTAATTTGGAAGTGTGTTGATATGGGGTTTGGGCTTCAGTGCGATTCGTGCGAATTTGATGTTTGATTCTTGTTCAACATGAAAATTTATGAGTTTTATTGTACTACCCATAGTGAATCGTGCATGTTTGAGTGTTTTTGATGAAACCCGAGATCTAGAACGTCCGGTCTGAGGTGAGACCGTCCAGACTAGGGCTTCGGGAGAAAACGCGAAGTCCAGAGGTAGAAGACGAAGTCTGGACCGAACGGACTTGACAGTCCAGACCGTCCGTTCTGGCAACACTGGACCATTCGGTCTGCAAACGCAGACCGTCCGGTCTGAACTGACTGGACCGATCGGTCTAAGGGCTAGACCGATCGGTCTGAAAAAAAAAAAAGAGTAACGGAACCCCGAATATTCATAATGTGAGAAATTGAGAAACTAGACTAGACGAACCTAATATTACCCCGGCTCAAATTGTGAAAAAGTGAAAAATATAAAATATACCGAAAATACGGGCCAGACCGGACCCCACATAGTCTGGACCCAAAATGAATAAAAGGTAAGGTTAAAAACCACGGAATGAACCGAACTGGTTATCCGGGCGGACCGGGACCAGAAAGGTCATACCGGAGGTACAATTCGGTAATGTAAATGGAAAGATTCAAACAAAATAAATAAATAAATATAAAAGACTACGCGAGCGGAAATGTATGTATAGTAAAATAACTATATAAACATGTGTGACTGGGGTAGCTGACATGGCGTTAAACGTTGATTCGAAAAGGGTTCGGATTAACGTTTAGCGTGTGATTGTAGAAGCGGACGTTTGTGAATGATTGCACGATGTTTGCGAGATTGCGTCCCATCCATGGGCCATCTGATCCGGGTCGAATGTCACCCGTATGGGATATGATTGTGATTGTGGCGATAACATAATCGCGCCAACGTCCGAACGATAGGACAGTTATGGGCACCCCGATGACTTGCGTAGATAGCCGATTGTAGTCGGTACTATTGCGTGACGAGGAACACACGGTTCTTGGAACCGCGCCAACGTTTTCGCTAGCGATGGAGCGGACCCCGAGATATGAGTATCCCGAGGATGAGGGCATCACACATACCTGAGATTCGGGTACTCTTCCCAAGTCAACGAAAAAACCTTGTACTTTTTTGTTTACCAATTAAACCATGTATTTGGTATGTAATACCTATAAAACCCCGAACTTTTTAAAAATTAATCGAAAACCCCTCGCGTCTGCCAACTCAAACAAAAACAATGACGTAGCAATGACATGATTTCTATGTCATAGTCACATCATCATAATTATGTCATATCATCATTTCAAATAAAATTTAAATTAAATAATTTATTTAAATTAATATATATACATACAAATTCACATATATATACATTAAATATAAAATTACTTATAACTAATAAATACATATAAACATATCTATAATATATATATATATATATATATATATTATAAATAATATATATACATATTATTTGTTAATATAATTTATAATATATATTATAGATATATATGTGTGTTTTATTAGTTATAAATAATTTTATCTTTAATCTATATACATAAAAAGCCGTAAAGGTAAGAGTTT